GATTCTATTAAATGTATTAAACCCCAAGTCAGAAATCCCTGGTCTTACTATCTTATGTATATCATGGGATAGATAACATTATATGTGCAAATTCCTTCCCATTCAGAAATTAACCGAGCCGCTGTGAAATATCATGGAAATTTCACACACATCTCCCCTTTTGGACTGAAGATATGAGCTGTGGCACCTTCAAAGTAAGTGTTGCAAGCAACTAGTTTAATAGCTATGGTATAACTAGAAAGAACAGAGGTGGAAATCATATAGCTCTCCAGGTTTTGTTGGACTGCAAATCCCAGCAGCCCCTGGCCAACATGGCCAATGGTGAAGAATATGGGGACTTGCAGTCCAGCACTATCTGAGGGGCTGCGTGTAAGACAGGGTTTTCCCCAGTCCTACTTGGAGATGTCGGGGGAAAGAACCTGGGACCTTCTGCATGCAAAACAGATGCTCCATCACTGGACCATTCTCCATCCTTCAAGCAGATACACAAGTTTATCACCTTGATGAGAACTAGAACCATAGATTCACACAGAGCCATCCAGTATGACCCGCTGCCACGCATGAATATCCAAACAAGGCCTTCGTTTCAGCTATGGCATAAAAGTATCTCTCCATTGATACCAGTTTTCCCCTTACTGTTAGGAAACTTGAAGAGTCTTGCAGTTCAAGATGATCCTGGGCTTCCAACAGCAGCTCCTGGAAACCACAGCAAGCCTCCTTCAGCATTCTCAGTCTCTCCTTTGTCTCCTGGAGCCAGGCACCTCCTTCCTCTGCCAACTTCATCTTGCGCAACTTTTCCTGGGCATAGAGGAAGTGGTGGAGCTCCCTGAATTCAGTGGAGATGTGGTCATTCAGGCTGAGCATAACTGCCTGGAAAACAGAGAGGTGTAGATGAGCCTTTTCCCATCCCTAGCTTGAGAGAGCAATTCTCAGTTTCTCTTTGTCACTGTTATCTTTTTCTTTTCTAACCTTTCCTCTCTCTCTCTCTCTCTCTCTTTTTACCTGATGGTTCTGTAGCCTTTCTTCTTCCTCTGTTTTAAGCATGAGAAGTTTGGCCAAGTTAGATTCCATCTGAGAAACAGCCAGAGACAGCTCTTCCTGCTCAAAAAAGCGAGTTGAAGGGGGAAAAGTTAAGTATTATAAGATATAAAATATAACTCAATCTATGAAAATAATATTAAAAGTATGTGTGTGTGTTTAATATAAATATATATATGTAGAATCATAGAATCATAGCATTGGAAGAGACCACAAGGGCCATCCAGTCCAACCCTCTGCCATGCAGGAACAGTTCTTGAATCACGCTGAGAGTTTCAAAAATTATCCATGGGGAAATGCCACTGCCCATAGTGTGAACTGGCATGTTCTCTGAGCTGTTTTCCACATACACAAGCCTAAAATATTATGGTATCAAATGATTCTGCTGGAATACTTGAAAGATATTCCCAAAATAATGTGCTGTGCATACTCTCAGTGTTGTGCCTCCACTGTAACACTACAAAGAACTATTTGCTGCTTATATATATTTACACACGCACACAACACACACATATATGTAAATACTTTTAATATCATTTTCATAGACTGAGTTATATTTTATATTTTATAATAGCTAGCTTTTTCCCCCTTCCTTTTATATAGGTTAAGGTTTTAATCCCTATTGTTTTTTTTACAAATATGTGAGTGGGCATTAAGATAGCCGAAGGTAACAATTGCACCTTTCTCTACCCCGCTCTGATTTCTCCAAGATCAGATGCAGGGAAACTTTGTCTCACCTGCTCTTTTGGATTATAGTTCCTACAATCCTTTCCCCTGCTGGGTAGGGCTAGTGAGAGTTGTAGGCAAAAATGACTGGAGCGCCAAAGAAAACTACAGGAAAAGAGATCCCACCTCAACATTAGGAAGAACTTCCTGACAATAAGAGCCGTTCGACATTGGAACACACTCCCTCAAAGTGTGATGGAGGTTTTTAAACACAGGCTGGATGGGCATCTGTTGGGAATGCTTTGATTATGAGTTCCTGCATGGCAGGGGGGTTGGACTGGATGGCAGTTGCATTATATAACCCTGTGAATTTGTGGTATATTCACCTTGGCTGCATCTGCACTGTAGAAATAATCCAGTTTGACATCACTTTAACTGCCATGGCTCAATGCTATGGAATTCTGGGAATGGTAGCTTGTTCTGGTTCCCCAACAAACTACCATTCCCAGAATTCCATAGCATTGAGCCATGGCAATTAAAGTGGTGTCAGACTGGATTACTTTTGCAATGCAGGCGCAGCCTTTAGACTTCTGAATTCTATAGAACTATGTTCTTCTGCCAGGAGGAATGCTAAACAGAGTGTTGGCCTTGGGTGTGTTGCAAATGAATTTCCTTCTCAAGTAGAAACAGAAAAATATATGTTGCCAGTGGCTACATCCCACAACCTAAACAATTCCCAAAGGTCATAAACAATCAAGCTTTTCAAGGCAAGAAAGTTCCTTGAAATTTCGGGGCACTAATGGAGAATTACACAAGGGGGACTGGCTTGTCTGAAGCCAAAAGAAAGAAGCTGATTTTGATAGTGTTGTTAGAAACAGAATTGATCTTGGTAGTGTTATTAGACATTTTGCAGATAAAAAAGCCAGAAGACCTCATTTCATTAGCTAATTAGGCTTATAGTTGCTTGGTATAAAGCATATTGTTACCCGGTCATTGAAAAAAGCCTCCCCTGGGCCCATAAGCAATTTGCTCCCCTTGCAAAATGTCTCTCAGAGGTCCTGGCTGGTGCATGGTGTTCAGTGCAAAAGGAGATTTGCAAAAGAGCAAATCCACAAAAGAGCTGTCCCTCTTCATTATGACCAGTGATGGCCATAGGTCAGCTGTTCAGAGCATCTGCCCTTGGTTTTATTTTGGACTTTCACAGGTCCCTATTTGCGGAATGGGGTCAGCAATTTGAATACCTTCTTTAAAATCTAGACTCAACCCAATGTGATCTCACATCACCTTTGACATGTAAGGCGCTGACTGTCAATGTTCCTGACTCCCAACTCAAATTCCCTAGAGCAGGTGGAAACCATCTGGACTTCCGGATATTGTTGGACTGCAACTCCCAGCAGTCCTAGCCAGCACAGCCAGTAATGAGGAATACTGAGAGCTGCAGTCTGATAACTTCTTGAGGTCCATGATTCCCACTACTGCCCTGGACCCATTGTGCTCAAACTTCCATCCTATCAAACTGCAAATCCAACCCAAGAGCTCTGTTTGGACCCTGTCTGAGCAGAGTTTTGAACCCATGGAAACTGACTTTTGATAAGCAGATTAGTTACTGTCACACTTCAGCGCTAACTGAAAGACCCGGATCTCCTTGCCCAGCCCTTTGAAAATCTGAGGCAAGGGACGTGATTTACATCTTTCTTGATCCTATTACATGCTATCCCATTTGCACAACTGTATAAAATTTGCCTTATACCTGAAGCCTTAATACCACACTCAGGATTGCATCTGAAGAAGTGGCTTTACATCCATGAATTCTCATGCTAAAACCAAGTTACCATCCACCCTCCATTTCCACAGATTCAGCATCCACAGATGCAACCAACCAGTTTGAAAATATTTGCACACCAAAAAAATTCCAAAAAGCAAACCTTGTTTTTATCACTTTATATAAGGAATGCATTTCACAATGCACTGTATATAATGGAACTTGGTATCTATGGGAGGTCCTGGAACCAACCCCCAGCTGATACCAAAGGACCATTATAGTCTTATAGGTGCTGCCACATTTCTTTTTCTCTCCTCCTTCCTTATTATGTTTGGACACTGTCTCACCTTATACCACTTTGTTGCTTCGTGGACAGGGAGCATTGCATGTTTCGGCTGCAGTGCGGATTCTTTGCAGTTGGCACTGCCGCGTCGCCCCTCCTCAGCCTCCCCAGGATTCATTTGCCCAATTCGGTGGACCAAGGTCCCCAAGAGCTTGCAGGGGGTGTACCTCTTCTCTGGAAATTCCTCCCGGCACTGTGGGCAGATGTGCTTGCTGCCATGCGCTCCCCAGGCCATCTCAATGCAGGCTTGGCAGTAGAGGTGCCCACAAGGGAGGGCGACCGGCTCCCAGAACCACTCCAGGCATATTGGGCAGGAAAAATCTGGAACCAGATCTTCAAACAGCGTGGCTGAAGCCATGACCAAAGGAGCTAAGCCTCTAAGAATTGTGGCTCCCCCAGCCTTTCTCTTCCCACAATATGAACATCCCCTGCATTTAGTCTCTGTGGGTCATTCACATTTTCTTTCCTTCAACCACCGGGTCCCAAAGCCAGAATTGAGAAACTACCCAATTGTCAGAGACAATGCCGCTCTCTTGGCATTACGGAGTTTTCTCTTGACCCAGGCATTGTCTGGCTTTCTCTGAACTCTGGTGCTGAACTTTGCTCCAAACACCCAATTGATTTGGGTTTATCGCTCACCAGGGGTGGGAAGGTAGGAACACAGCTCCAGCCAGCCACCCCTTGTGCACACAACGCTTTTACACAGGTGACAGTAGGTTTCAGGCTTGTTCTTTTTCCTGGCTCCACTCCTGTACCTTTGAAATCAAACACATACCCCTGCAAAAAATAATAATAATTGAACTAATTTTAGAAAAAAGCTTCAAATGCTAAACACAAGCATTTCAAGCCACTATGGGCCTTTCCACACTACAAAATTATAATGCAAAATTATAACACTTTGGTGCTACTTTACTGCCATGGCTGCAACCTATCAGATCCTTTGTAGTTTCATGAGTCTATTTTGAATTCTCTGAGAGTTCTTGTGATTCACCAAATCACACATTCCAGGAATCTGAAGGATGGAGCCATAGCTAAGCAAAGTGGTATCAAAGTGCTAGAACTGTGCAGGTGTGAGAAGCACAAGAGCACAGCCAGCAAAAACACTGCCAGGCTGATCATTTAGAAAACGTTAGAGACCTGTGGCCCAGAGGCAAAAAATAGAAATGGACCCATCACTGCTGCTGCCCGAAGGCCAGTGCAGTGTAGTGGTTTGGGTGCTGGACTAGGACTCTGGAACCAGAGTTCAAATCTCTGCTCAGCCATGGAAACCCAGCAGGTGACACTGACCAAGTCACACTCTTTCAACATCAGAGGGAGGCAATGGCAAACCCCCTTTGAACAATTTTACTGAGAAAATAACTTGGTAGGTTCGCATTAGAGTTGCTGTAAGTTGAAAACGACTTGAAGACACACAAGTCTCTGAAAACCCTAAAGTAAGAGAACATGGCATGTTATTGGTTCATTCTGCATCCATTCAGCAGCAAACCAACCTCTTGGTGTTTATTGTGTCCTATGAGAATACAAAGACAACAGATCCCATCTGATCTTGGAAGCTAAGCAGACTCAGTCCTGGTTAGTACTTCAGTGGGAGACCTCCAATGAATACCAGGTGCTATAAGCTGTATCTCAGAAGAAACTGGCAAAACCTCCTGAGTATTCCTTGTCCAGGAAACCTTATGAAATCTGTGAGCTTACCCTAAGTCAACAGGCAACCTCTCAAATATAGCCTGCAGCACCTGGTATTTGCTAGCATCCTCCCATCCCAAGTACTAACCAGACCCTGCTTAGCTTCCAAGATCAGATGGGATCTAGTGCCTTTAAGTTATTTTTGTAAGATTGAATTATTGTTCTGTGGCCTTCCCTATATTACTTTCCCAGTTCTGTCCCCATCTTCCCCACCTTAAATGATTGATGCCACAGCACAATTTGCTTTCTTGGTAACCTGAAGGGCATTGTTAGCAAAAAGCTTGATACAAATGTTTTTCCCCTAGCTCTGATTCCTTTCTCTTTTAATTCTTGATTTTACTTCTCTTCTTCTCTCCCCCAACTCCTGGCCAAATGTCTTCTCCTTCCCTCTGGCTTCTCACATCTTCTCTCTTCCCCCAAAACTCCCAACTCCTGCTTAAATGTATTTTCTCATCTCCCTCTTCTTGTCTCTTACCATAACTATTTATCCATCCTTCCTTCCCCCTACCTACCTCCACTCATCTCCTTCCCTTCCTTTCTGTTCCTCCATCTTTGTCTCCCATCACAAAATCTTTAAACTGTGACTAGGATATGTAAAGAATCTGTAAACGAAGCCAGTATGAGGAATAGTTAAGGGACCTGTGTGTGTTTAATCTGAAGGCCAACAAGTTTTTTGTCTATTATTTTAAAATTGTGCATCAGAGAAGGGAAAGAACTGCCAATCCATCTCTTCTAGACCAGTAAGCCAACTTCAGTGTGATAAAGAGCACTACTGCTGATATTGCATGGAGTCCTATCTCCAGATTCATCACCACTGATACTTCTGTAATCCTTTCAGAATTGTACTTCCTTCTCTATGGTTTAAAAGAGGTAAGAAAGATGTGTGGCTTTTCCTTTTGTTGTACTGAAATTCCCGATTCCTCATCATTGGTGATGCTGGGTCTTCCAGTCCAGCATCATCTCGAGGGACACAGATTGCCTAATTCTGATTTAGAGGTCTCAGTGGGACTTTATGATATGTGAAATGTGAGAATAACAGTTTGTCCCTTTGGTCACACAGAAGGGCTGTACGTTGCTTTGGACATCAAAATTACCTTGACTAATTTCACTAGGAAAACCATGGAAACAAAAACAAAAAAAAAAAAAAAAAAAGAAAATAGATTTTATTCCTCATTATGTACAAACAATGCACAACTGTCATCCCAACTTCTCTCATAACACTGAGTCTTCCAAGCCAGACGAACTCTACCATTAGGCAGAATGAGGTTACTTTCCTGAGAAGGAGTGAGAGAGATGCTTGCAGTGAGATGTTCTGTCTTATACCAAAGTAACTTCTCTAGCATTTCGTGTATGAGGTGTGCCTCTGGTTGTTCTGCTTCAGGCAACAAACGGTTTTGTGTTGGCCTTATTTCCAAGGGCAGCTCAGTCTTCCCCCCTCAATTGAAAACTATGAAGAGTATAGAGTGGACAAAACCCAGAATGGGCAAGACAAAAACAACAGTAGTTTCTTTGTCATTAACAAATGTTCAGCCTGGGATGCAAAGGGATCTTGTAGCACCTTTGAGAGTGAGGCTGGATCCACATTGCAGAAATAATCCAATCTGATACCATTTTAACTGCCAAGGCTTAATGCTATGGAATTCTGGGATTTGTAGTTTGTTGGGGCACCAAAGTTCTGACAGAGACACAGGGCCTCTATAGATGGCACTTTGCACCATCTTGGAGGCAGGGAAAGGGAGGGGCAGCCACACACTAGGCGCCCCAACCCCTTCCTGAGGACGTCATCGCAGCGTGCACTGCTACGCATGGCGTGCGCCATCAAGACATCCTCCTGGCGCAGTGTTTTTACACGCTGCTCTAAAAGAGGCGCAAAAGAGCCGCACAGCGGCTCTTCAGGTGCCCTATTTGCTGGCCCTGGAAGGAGCGGCATTTTAGCACTCCTTTCAGGGCCGGCAAAAGGGTGGATTGGGGCCGAGACGTGGGGAAGCCTTGGCGCCACTCCTCCACTTCCTAGGGCAGCCCATGCCTGCCTGTCTGCATCTCCCCAAATATCTCACAAAACTACAATTCCCAGAATTCCATAGCACTGAACCATGGCAATTAAAGTGGTGTCAAACTGGGTTATTTCTACAGTGTGGATGCAGTATAAAAGAAGGAAGCTGGTAGCATAAATTTTCCTAGACTCAAATTTCATGCAACCAGCATTTTTTTTTCAGTTAGGGCCTCGGCAGATGACTAATAGGGTCGTCTTCGAGCCCT